AGTTTACAGAGAACACAGTTTACAGAGAGCTTGTATGAGTTGGGAGATATCAGGAGATCTGTTGCTAGTGATGCTTCAAAGGGACTGTTTATAATTTACATAAATGAAATAGACGAGGGAATAATAGCGGCATTAAAAAGAACTGAACTGAACTGAGAGAATAGGTATGACCCTTGTGGGGGGAGCGGGGAAGTGGGGATAGTGGAAGAAAAGGCTGGTGAGAGGAAGACTGTGAGGGGAAGGGATAGTACCAGGGGTTAACCCAGTCGCTAGATAAGATAAGATTTCGTTCGGATTTTTAACCCCGGAGGGTTAGCCACCCAGGATAACCCAAGAAAGTCAGTGCGTCATCGAGGACTGTCTAACTTATATCCATTGGGGTCCTTAATCTTGTCCCCCAGGATGCGACCCACACCAGTCGACTAACACCCAGGTACCTATTTGCTGCTAGGTGAACAGGACAACAGGTGTAAGGAAACGTGTCGAAATGTTTCCACCCGCCGGGAATCGAACCCAGGCCCTCCGTGTGTGAAGCGGGAGCTTTAGCCACCAGGCCACCGGGCCAGGCAGGCAGATAGTGGTTCAGGAGTTGTTGACGCGGCAAGGAGTGCTGATTAACTGGCAGGGGATATCCATTACGCGACTTTACAAAGCACTGGTGAAGGCTTGTATTCAAAACATGACGTTGTTAAAGGTCCACCCCGAATTAAAAGTTTACCGTGGACACTAAAACAGACCATCAAACAAATTCTGATGAAAACACTAGAGAGATACGAAACAATCGGGAATGATTGATGCAGTGGTCAGAGAAGTGGCAGGAGCCTTGACATATGTAAGGTTTAAACCCTAAGAAAATAAATAAACCATGATAATTACAAAGTAAACAATGTAGATTTAGGAGTCCTGGTTAGTGGCAATCTAAAGCCACAATAATTGTGCATAAGTGTTGGGCAATAAATATGGACTCGAGAAATTTTGGGCTTACATCAAGATGTAAAATTAATATGAATCCTCAGTTAGTACATCAACTTTATCTTGTTAAACCACTTTTAGAATATACTGTACAGTTATGATCTGTTTTACGTGATAGATATAAATGCGCTTGAAAACATACAGTGAAGAATGACAAGTTGAAGATTGAGACACTTATGCAGCATATGGGAATCTTTATTCAGGAAACGTTTCGCCACACAGTGGCTTCATCAGTCCAATACAAAGAGGAAGGCGTAAGGAGAGGAGGAGTATGAGGTAATCAGTCCCTCAGCCTGGTATGATTACCTCATACTCCTCCTCTCCTTACGCCTTCCTCTTTGTATTGGACTGATGAAGCCACTGTGTGGCGAAACGTTTCCTGAATAAAGATTCCCATATGCTGCATAAGTGTCTCAATCTTCAACTTGTCGATTTTTCAAACCATTCATCACAAGAATGACAATGTTGATCCCATGTATCAGAAATCTTTCTGTGAGGCAGATTGAGGGGACTGAATTTAAACTCTCTGGAAATAGGAAGGGTATTAGATGTGTACATTTGGAATACAGAAATAAATAAAGGGATACAAATAACTTGCTAAAAATATCTAAATAATTCAGAACTCACACCAATGGGTTCTAAGTAGGAAAATTTACTAATTAAGTTAGAACATTAGGTAAGAGTCGTGGATAATTCATGTACCTAGCAGGTTGGTAAGGTAGACGTATGAGTGTGGGTGTGAGTTAGACCTACCTAGCATGTGCCAGTATGCCTATTACAGATCTCTCTTTATGTTCTAAGCTAATGTTATACCATCTGGTAAACTGGATGATCAAACTAGCACTTACACTCCACTAACAATACCAGCCATCATCTAGGTACAATATAATAGTGTTAAAAACATGAAGCTGAGCAGAAGAGGATTTCTCAAGTTAACTCAATGAAATCAAAATCTGCAAAGTAATGACCAGAGGACACTAGCACCTGTCGACTGTATCATAAACCCTCCCGTAGCTATATTGAAGCAGTGCTGAAAATTTTAAGTCAATTCAATAAAGCGTTCTGTTATAAGAATCCAGTGAACGGGTATGGTTCGAACCCATGGCACGTGAGTACTAAGACTCCTGGCCAGTGCGTAAGCTACTCGGCCTGGAGTTTTAGGACTTACTCAACATGGGTTCAAACCTTACCCGTTTCGTGGTTGGTTTGCAGTCGTGTTATTACGATTTCGTGAGACAAGATGGCGGCTTTAAGGGGACTTGAGGTAGAGTTCTCTACAACCGAACTGGAGGGAGATTCATTTGTAAAAACTCGCATTTATAGCTACAGTGGTGGCCCATGCTAACCTCCCTATGGTGTATTGAAGTATACTAAGTTGGATGAATCTTATAGCCAAATAGCCCAGTGGTTAACGCACTGGCCTGAAGTTTATGGACTCGCCTTGAGTTCAAATCCTACCCGTTCCGTGATTTGTTTGTAATACCGTTACTACGATCTAGTGAATCATATTATTAACGGAAACCTTAAAGAAAGTAAGAGCCCATAAGAATGGGCCGCTCTAGGACGAAATGGTACAAAAATAAGAGCTTCTGAATCTCACTTCATTTTAAAACGCCATTAAAATAAGAGCTTCTGAAATTCTCAAATTTCTTTTCTCTGTAAATTGAAATTCTCTTCAATCTTATTCGTAAAATAATTTTATTGTTGACTTGTTAAAGGAATTTAGTTTTCAATATTTTTCGAACTGGTTTCTATTAAGTGTAATAATTCAAATGTATCACTGAGATGTATCACTGAGATGTATCACTGAGATGTATCACTGAGATGTATCACTGAGATGTATCACTGAGATGTATCACTGAGATGTATCACTGAGATGTATCACTGAGATGTATCACTGAGATGTATCAAAGAGATGTATCACTGAGATGCATAATGAGATGTATCACTGAGATGTATCACTGAGATGTATCACTGAGATATATAATGAGATGTATCACTGAGATGTATCACTGAGATGTGTCACTGAGATGTATCACTGAGATGTATCACTGAGATGTATCACTGAGATGTATCACTGAGATGTATAATGAGATGTATCACTGAGATGTATCAAAGAGATGTATCACTGAGATGTATCACTGAGATATATCACTGAGATGTATAATGAGATGTATCACTGAGATGTATCACCGAGATGTATCACTGAGATGTATCACTGAGATTTATCACTGAGATGTATCACTGAGATGCATCACTGAGATGTATAATGAGATGTATCACTGAGATGTATCACTGAGATGTATCACTGAGACGTATCACTGAGACGTATCACTAAGATGTATCAGAGATGTATCACTGAGATGTATCACTGAGATTTATCACTGAGATGTATCACTGAGATGTATCACTGTGATGTATCACTGAGATGTATCACTGTGATGTATCACTGAGATGTATCACTGTGATGTATCACTGAGATGTATCACTGAGATGTATCACTGTGATGTATCACTGAGATGTATCACTGTGATGTATCACTGAGATGTATCACTGTGATGTATCACTGAGATGTATCACTGTGATGTATCACTGAGATGTATCACTGTGATGTATCACTGAGATGTATCACTGTGATGTATCACTGAGATGTATCACTGAGATGTATCACTGAGATGTATCACTGTGATGTATCACTGAGATGTATCACTGTGATGTATCACTGAGATGTATCACTGTGATGTATCACTGAGATGTATCACTGAGATGTATCACTGAGATGTATCACTGTGATGTATCACTGAGATGTATCACTGTGATGTATCACTGAGATGTATCACTGTGATGTATCACTGAGATGTATCACTGAGATGTATCACTGTGATGTATCACTGAGATGTATCACTGTGATGTATCACTGAGATGTATCACTGTGATGTATCACTGAGATGTTTGAAAAATATTGGATCCATTACAAGAATCATGGAATGAGTAATAACATTAATTATGAGGTAGCTGCACTTGCCAGTTGTTACACTAACCTGACCTTAGTAACCATGCAACATTAATTAAAATTTGAAGTTGATCAGATGAGGCCTCATGTTGAACTTTGCTGGAAGGAAAAAATACAGGCAACCACTTAGGGAAACCCCCATCAGGGAGTCCTATTTCTCCCCTGGCAATCACTTAAAGGAACCCCCTTCAGGGAGTCTTAATTATCCACCGGCAACCACTTAAAGGAACCCCCATCAGGGAGTCTTAATTGTACCCCGGCAACCACTTAAAGGAACTCCCTTCAGGGAGTCTTAATTGTACCCCGGCAACTACTTAAAGGACCCCACTTCAGGGAGTCTTATTTCTCCCCTGGCAACCACTTAAAGGACCCTCCTTCAGGGAGTCTTATTTCTCCCCTGGCAACCACTTGAAGGACCCCCCATCAGAGAGTCTTAATTACCCACCGGCAACCACTTAAAGGAGCCCCCTTCAGGGAGTCTTATTTCTCCCCTGGCAACCACTTAAAGGACCCCCCCTTCAGGGAGTCTTAATTATCTCCCTGCAACCACATAAGGAACCCCCTTCAGGGAGTCTTAATTGTTCTTCGGTAACCACTTAACCCCCTTCAGGAAGTCTTAATTATCCCCGGGATATTGACCAGCATCTCACTTGAGGGTGAGAAGTTGAGTCACATTACATATATCACTGGTAAGTCTGGCTGCAAGAGTAGAATGCTTGCTTTGTCTATCAGTGGATGCATTATCGAGGCTCTACTATTCCTGACGGTTAATGCTGCCTTATATTTTCTCTGTAGTTAATTCTTCTTCCAAATTTTTGATCAAAGAAATTAAAAACTCTCTCTGCACCTTCGGATCAGGTTTGATTAATCTCGCCTTCTTATCAGTGTCGTGCAGAGGTCTGGTGATGCCCGGCGCCACCGCCCCTTCGCCCCTCCCCCTCTGCATGCCTCTGCTTCTTACCTATCCTAATGAAAAGGTTCGGTATAATAACAGTAATATCCATGTGTTTTACAGGTCTGTCATCACTCTCGTGTACTTCGGATTATCCTCGAACACTAGCAATTTGGGTGGCAATGTGTTTGTGAACTTTATCGCCAGTATGCTTATCGAGATTCCATCCTGCATCTTCTCCTATTTCGCCCTTGACAGGTAATGGACTCATGCTTGGTGGGCGGGGGATGTGGCGGAAATGTGGTGGGATGTAACTCGATCGCTAGCGCACTCAACTCACACCGAGGTCTGGAATTAAATGGTATAAATACCGACACAATGGAAATATAAACACATATGCAGTTTAATGTGATCCTTTATTGACAACGTTTCGCCCACACAGTGGGCTTTTTCAAGTCACAAACAGATCTTCCTGGGATGGAAGGTACGCGAGTATTTATAGTCAGCTTCAGAAAGTTGAGGTCAGGTGGAGAATGCTGCATCTGATGATCTACCAAGTGGGGTTATGGAGTCTAAAATCTTGGGTAGCTTGGAAGGGAGATTGGATAAGTTTGTGAGCAGACCTTCTGCAGTGTTCTTCCATTCCTATGTTCTTATGTGCGATAGCAATGAAGAAGTTTGACTCACGAAATCGTAATGACACGATTGCAAACAAACCATACCTCGGGCGGGATTGAGCCCGCGGTCAGAGAGTCTCAAAACTCCGGACCGTCGCGTTAGCTAAAGCGACGGTCTGGAGTTTTGAGACTCTCTGACCGCGGGTTCAATCCCGCCCATGGTATGGTTTTATTTATGAAGAAGTTTCTTGGCAAGTTTCTCAGCTATGTTATAGAAGCCATTGCTCTGGTTGAAATTGTCGGATATAAAGATAAGCGATGATTCCAGGATTCTTCGATATTGAGTGTTGTCTTCTCTGGCGATAAGTCTTGAGTTTATGTAGTTAACTAAATGGTTGTGTGAATTGCGGTGTTGTACACAGGCATTCCTTCTATCGTCAGACCTGCTTGCGTATTGGTGTTATGAAATACGTGTTTGGAGGTCTCTTGATGTTTCGCCCACGTATAATTTGCTGCAGTCATTACAAGGGACAGGACAAGTTTCCATCCTCTGCAGGGGTATACATAATCCCTTGTAATGACTGCAGCAAATTATACGTGGGCGAAACATCAAGAGACCTCCAAACACGTATTTCATAACACCAATACGCAAGCAGGACTGACGATACAAGGAATGCCTGTGTACAACACCGCAATTCACGCAACCATTTAGTTAACTACAGAAACTCAAGACTTATCGCCAGAGAAGACAACACTCAATACCGAAGAATCCTGGAATCATCGCTTATCTTTATATCCGACAACTTCAACCAGAATAGTGGCTTCTATAACATAGCTGAACCACTTGCCAAGAAACTTCTTCATCGCTATCCCACATAAGAGCATAGGAATGGAAGAACACTGCAGAAGGTCTGCTCACAAACTTATCCAATCTCCCTTCCAAGCTACCCAAGATTTTAGACTCTATAACCCCACTCAGATGCAGCATTCTCCACCTGACCACAGCATTCTGAACCTGACTATAAATACTCGCGTACCTTCCACCCCAGGAAGATCTGTTTGTGACATGAAAAAAGCCCACTATGTGGACGAAACGTTGTAAATAAAGGATCACATTAAACTGTATATGTGTTTATATTTTCACACCGAGGTCTGGAGATCGAATATCCTCCAGTACGGCTGGAAAACATTAGGGACGTGTTTCCATAAGACACCTTCTGTCACTGTCCCTGTTCACCCATCAGTTTAAAATGGGTACCTGGGAGTTAGTCGACTGGTGTGAGTCGCATCCTGGGACAAAAACTGACCTAATTTGCGGGAAATGCTCAGCATAACAAGGGGCTTTCTATATAGTAGTATGTCATTGATGTCAACTATGGTGTGTGTACCTTGTGCATGTAGCAACATAAAGATAACTAGTTGAACACTTTGTCTACACATCAGTTTTGCAGACTAGGAGCTGTTATCCTATCTCAGCACAATACTAACTAAGGTATACTACCACCACCCAGGATACGACCTGCAACAATCAACTAACACCAGGTACCTACTTACTGCTATTTTAGCAGGGACAGCCAAACGTTTTTACCCTTGCCGGGGATTAAACCCCTAACATTCAGTATGGGAGCCGAGTGCAATGTCAACCGAGCCACTTGATCTTAAAAAAAATAAATCTGTAAATACTGAATATCTTATAAGAATATTTTTGGATCTAATATTCCTAAGAAATTCCAATGAAAACAATCAATGTTCCCCTATTCATTATTTTTTCCATTCTTCGTATAAAAACCAAATATATACGGCGAGGTATCAGATAAAATGTGACTTATATGCTGTACATCTAAATTAATTTTAAGGCCAATTACCTGTTTTAGAGGTTATACCAACAGTGTGCTAATCTAAATGTGGTTTACAAACACTGGCTATAAAAACAGTGTTATATTAAGTTTGTTGTTCTTTAAATTAAACCATAATTCTGTTATTTTATTAGACAGTAAGAGGAAGAGCTATTTTATTTCTCTACTGATTGTAAATTCCTTTAGTAGTTTAGCACTTATTAGTGAATATTTTATTGATGATGATAATAATAATAATAATAATAATAATAATAATAATAATAATAATAATAATAATAATAATAATAATGGATAAATAAACACCAATGCAGTATATGATTCTTTATTGGCAACGTTTCGCCCACACAGTGGGCTTTATCAAGTCACAAAGAGATGTGTTTGTGTCTTGGTAAATCCCACTGTGTGGGCGAAACGTTGTCAATAAAGGATCTCATTATACTGCTTATGTGTTTATTTTCCATCGTGTCAGTATTTTATACCATTTATCTCCATTAATATTAATAATAACAACAACAATACTAATAATAACAGCTACAACAACAAAAACAACAACAACAATGTTGAGAGGGTTCGTGGAGATGTGATGGCTGGAGTTAAACACACTTGTTGGATGGTAACACTTATATTAGCAGAGTGTGAAAGGGGAGCCCAGACTGGCCTGTCCTATTGCCTGGTAGACCTAAGCGTGGAGAAAGAAAGCGTGATCACGGGAACGCTGCGCTCACATCGGCATCAATCGACGTCATACAAACTAGTCACTAGGCCTAGCAAGGGGTCATGTATGTAAAACATATGGATGGTACTAACTATGATACTCAGATAAGCTATACAAACATGTAGGGGATCAGCAACTATGCTGTCAACAAGAACAACAACAACAACAAGAACAACAACAACAATAATACTAACACTAATAATAATGACAATAATAATAATAATAATAATGACAACAAAAACATGTGGAGTTCTCCACTGCAGAATTCTGGGTCCCTTATTATTCCTATGTTATGTCAACATGTCCATCAGTGTCAAGTACAAACTCTCATTGTATGCAGATGACAGTGCTCTGTTAGTGTCAGGTAAAGACCAACATGGTATAGCTAAGGTATTAACACTGGAATTGAAGTCCTGCAGCAAATGGTTAGTAGATAACAAACTATCGTTACATCTTGGGTAAACTGAAGCCATACTCTTCGGCATGAAACAGAAACTGATATCGGTAAATAACTTTAATGTACAGTGTAATGAGGAGCCCATCACTTCAGTTTCCTCAGTAGAATATCTGGAAATCCCCTTTGTCCCATGCATGTCAGGAGAATTCAAAAGTAACAGTGTAGTACAGAAAGCGAATGCCAGACTGAAGTTCCTCGACACACCAGCACAGTGTCTACCTACTGAGGCTCGCAGGACCCTATGTCTTGCTCTTATACAGTTTCATATGGATTACGCTTGCTCTTCATGGTACTCTGCCTTGGCAAAAAAACTGAAGGATAGACTATATATCACCCAGAACAAAATGGTAAGATTCATCCTGGACCTGGGACCAAGAGAGCATGTAGGCCAGGATGAATTACAGGATGTTGAAGACAGAGTAAAACAACTGAAGCTAAATCAAGTTTGTAAAATTGCTCACAAACAATGTCCAGAATATCTTGCTGTCAGTTTTGTCAAGGTTGGGAACCGCAGCAATCATAGTACTAGGGGGAGAGAGAGCACAACTTTGTAGTAGCCACAGTCAGTGGCCAGGCTTCGAACACCTTTTATTGTACAGCAATAAAGGAATGGAACAGACTACCCGCACATGTCAAAGCCAGTCATAGCATGAACCAGTTCAAGAAGAGTGCCAAAAGGTGTCTGATGAATGTAGCGACAGAATGGGAGGAGAATTATTTTTTTTTTTAGCTAACATACGTGTAAATGTAAATAACTCTTTATATATCTCCTTGAGATAGAATAATAATAAGATATTATCTCCTTTATAGTATAATAATAAGATATTATCTCCTTTATAGTATAATAATAAGGTATTAAAAGGACCCCATTGGAAATAAGTCATTATTATTATCAAAAATTCGCCGGTATTCTCCCGGCCCGGGCCTTTTCCAAGTGGCGGCCCGGCCTTGGCTCCCTCTTTAGGGAGTGTCTGAGACCTAAGTCTCCCATAGGAGGAGGTACAAGTACCCCCTCATCTTTGGGACCAACTATCCCCAGGCCTAGCCACATTCCTCACCCTCACGGGGCTCGTAGGGAGAAGCTAGGCCTCTCTGGTCTGCCATCCCCGCCCCAAGGGGGCTAATGGGAATGACAGTCTTGTGAGCTGCAAGTTCTGGCTGAGGCACCTACCCTGCCCTAGAAGGGCTGGGCATGGTGTCGATCGAAATAAGTTACTCCGACTTTTGGGTTATCCCAGGTTCTTTACACATATTCTGCTATGTATGATAATCTATGTAACTGTATTTGTGCATACCTGAATAAACTTACCAACAACAACGTATGTTTAGGTAAAGAGTCATTAAAGATAATCAGTATAGTGTCTTTAGTCATAATAAGAGTACATGTGCAAGTGTCGTGAAGGTTATTACTGTTATTCCACAGACTGGGACGTAAGGGTTCGCTCTCCTTCGTGCTGTTACTTGGCGGACTCTCGTGCTTCATATCCGGGTTTATTCCAGAAGGTAAACTCTCTGGCAATACGGCAGATTCCATGCCCACACCATTGCCATTTCACTCATGTAAAACACACATTGTTTATTAGGCAGGTTCATTTGACATTTTTAATTTCCACTAGAAATGAAATAATACTTTAGTTCAGGATAAGACATTTTTTTAGTTGACGTAAAATGATGAACTGTCAGTCTTAAAACAAATTACTGTGTATACACACACGCACGCATACATACATACGTACATATATACATACATACATATATGCATAAACCCCACCCCCACAGTAACCCTCAGTAACCCACACAATGTACCCTCTCCCCCCATCCCCCTAACCACAAACCCCACCCTCACAGTAACCAACAGAAACCCACAGACTGTACCCTCTATCCCCATCCCCTCACCGCAACCCCCTCCCCCACTGTAAGCCCCCATAGGCCCTCTTCCCCCACATCCCACACCACAGACCCCACCCCAACACCAACCTCCTATAGGCCCCTGCCAGGGTACCTACTCCCCCTAACCCACCTCTCTCCCCAGACCACAGTTATTGAAAAGAAGTTGAAGGTTTGGTACACGAATGCGGATGGAATAACGAATAAATGTGAGGAGTGGCATGAAAGAATCAAGGAGTTGTCCCCAGACATTGTAGCAGTTACAGAAACAAAACTCACTGGGATAATAATAGATGCAATCTTCCCACCCGGATATCAGATCCTGAGAAAGGATAGAAGGAGCAGGGGGGGGGGAGAGGAGGGGCTGCACTACTAATAAAAAACCGGTGGGGTTATCAAGAAATGGAAGGTATGGATGAGATTGGAGAAATGGATTACATAGTAAGTACAGTTCAGTCAGGGGAACACAAGGTAGTCATTTCAGTGATGTATAATCCACCACAGAACTGCAGGAGGCCAAGAGAGGAATATGATTAGTGCAACAGAGCAATGGTGGACACTCTAGCTGAGGTGGCAAGAAGGGCTCACTCAAGTAGAGCGACGTTACTGGTCATGGGCGACTTCAGTCACAGGGAGATTGATTGGGAAAACCTGGAGCCACATGGGGGTCCTGAAACATGGAAAGCCAGGATGATGGATGTGGTGCTGGCAAATCTCATGCACCAACATGTTAGGGATACTACCAGAGAGAGAGAGGGGAGGATGAACCAGCAAGACTGGACCTCGTGTTCACCCTGAGTAGCTCAGACATTGAGCACATCACATATGAAAGGCCCCTTGGAGCTAGTGACCACGTTATGAACTTTGAATACATCGTGGAGCTAAAAGTGGAAAGGGTAACAGGAGTAGAAAGAAAAAAGGTAAACTATGAAAGGGGGTACTACACGGGAATGAGGACCTCCCTGCAGGAGGTTCAGTGGGAACAGGAGTTGGTAGGAAAATCAGTAAACGAAATTATGGACTTTGTAACAACAAAATACAAGGAGGCAGAGGAAAGGTTTGTTCCCAAGGGTAACAGAAATAATGGGAAGGACAGAACGAGCCCTTGGTTTACCTGAAGGTGCAGGGAGGCAAAAACTAAGTGCTCTAGAGAATGGAAAAAGTACAAAAGGCAAAGGACTCAGGAGAATAAAAAGATTAGTCGACGAGCCAGAAATGAGTATGCACAGATAAGGATTGAGGCGCAGCGGCAGTATGAAAATGACAAAGCATCGAAAGTCTGACCCGAAACTACTCTACAGCCACATCAGGTGGAAGACAACAATCAAGGACCAGGTAATCAGGCTGAGGAAAGAAGGTGGGGAGCTCACAAGAAACGACCAGGAGGTATGTGAGCAGCTCAGCATGAGATTTCAAGAAGTATTTACAGTGGAGGCTGAAGGGACAACGGGAAGACAAAACAGTGGGGTACAGCAACAAGGGATATACCAACAAGAGTTGGATGAATTACACACAACTGAAGAGGAGGTGGAGAGGCTCCTAAGTGACCTTGATACCTCAAAGGCGGTGGGACAGGACAACATCTCTCCGTGGGTCCTTAGAGAGGAAGCAAGGACACTACGTGTGCCACTAACCAAAATCTTCAACACTTCCCTTGAAAGTGGGCAACTACCTAAAGTATGGAAGAAGGCAAATGTAGTCCCCATCTTTAAGAAAGGAGACAGAAATGAAGCACTAAATTATAGACCAGTGTCACTGACATGTATAGTATGCAAAGCCTTGGAAAAGATTATCAGGAGGAGAGTGGTGGAGCACCTGGAGTGGAACAAGATTATAAACGACATCCAGCACGGATTTATGGAAGGCAAATCCTGTGTCATAAACCTACTAGAGTTTTATGACAAGGTAGCTGAAGTAAGAAATGAGATGGAGGGGTGGGTTGATTGCATTTTCTTGGACTGCAAGAAGGCCTTCGACACAGTTCCTCACAAGAGATTAGTACAGAAGCTAGAGGAACAGGCACATATAACAGGAAGGGCACTGCAGTGGATCAGAGAATACCTAACAGGGAGGCAACAGCTAGTCATGGTCCGTGATGATGTATCACAGTGGGCGCCAGTGACGAGCGGGGTCCCACAAGGGTCAGTCCTGGGACCAGTGCTATTCTTGGTATATGTGAACGACATGACGGAAGGGATAGACTTAGAAGTGCCCCTGTTTGCAGATGACGTGAAGTTAATGAGGAGAATTAAAACAGACGCGGACCAGACAGGTCTACAAAGAGACCTGGACAGGCTGGATGTGTGGTCCAGAAACTGGCTCCTAGAATTTAACCCCATCAAATGCAAAGTCATGAAGATTACGAGGAGGGCAAAGAAGACCGCAGAGAGAATATAGGCTAGGAGGACAAAGGCTGCAAACCTCACTCAAGGAGAAAGACCTAGGAGTGAGTATAATATCGAGTACAACGCCAGAAGCACACATTAACCGGTTAACTGCTGCGGCATATGGGCGCTTGGCAAACCTGAGAATAGCGTTCCGGTATCTCAGTAAAGAATCGTTCAAAACTTTATACACTGTGTACGTCAGGCCCATACTAGAGTATGCAGCACCAGTTTGGAACCCACACATAGTCAAACACGTCAAGAAATTACTCGACGCCGCCACCAGCCTTAAAACGTTAAGCAAACAGTAACTCTACGCCGCCACCAGCCTTAAAATGTTAAGCAAACAGTAACTCGACGCCGCCACCAGCCTTAAAACGTTAAGCAAACAGTAACTCGACGCCGCCACCAGCCTTAAAATGTTAAGCAAACAGTAACTCGACGCCGCCACCAGCCTTAAAACGTTAAGCAAACAGTAACTCGATGCCGCCACCAGCCTTAAAACGCTGCATCCAGTTCCTCACTGAACGTTAACACGCACCATCATTCTTCATTATTTCTTTCGTCTGGTGCCCAACTTTGTGAAGCCCAATGATTTGAGCTATAGTTTCAGATGTTAAAGACTTCCTTTTACCATAATCAAACATGTATGGCCCCAATATCAAAGGGAACACTTCACAAAAGATGGGGCAGGTGAGAGAACAGTACTACATCTCTTTTCACCCCGGCAGCCACTTGAACAACGAGAAGTCACTGTGAAGTGTGGCAGCAGGCCGAGATGTCATGCTAATGGCTGCTACCCAACAGAATGCACTGACGAACCCCCCCCCCCGTTTGGTAGGTCTTTGATTTTCATCACAACATTGTGCCGAGGCGCTCACCCGGCATAATGCAGTGACGAGCACTGTACATACAAACAGGAATACAAGAGTCAGATGTCCACCGTGTCTGCCTCTGCAGAAACGTTGACGCAAAACTGAAGCTTTGAAATTAATTTAGACTTGGGTAATACCCACAGATGATTCTCAACTCAAGTTATTCCTGCAGTGTCACTATAACACTTGCACTCCAGGTTACACTCTAAAACAAGTAAAACATTGTTGAGTTCAACATTTACTCGTGAAAATGTTGACAAGTTCACAAACAGTTGTTTAAACTCCTGGACAACCTTGTGAACAATTTGCACATAATTACTGAACGTAAACATGCACAAAATAAATGAAATATAAGAATAATATTGCACAAGAAATGTCCCGTGGTCTGGTGGTTAAAGCTCTTGCTTCACACTGCGAGTATCTGGGTTCGATTCCTGGCGACGGTAGAAATATTGGGCGTGTTTCTTTACATCTGTGGCTAGTTGGTCCAGTGGACAATGCGTCGGTCTGGAGTTCTGAGACTCTTTGATCGCGGGTTCTAACCCCGCCCGTGGTATAGTTTACATCGGTTGTCTATGTTCATCCAAGAGTAATAATGGGTACCCGGGTGTTAGTCGACTGGTGTGGGTCGCATCCTGGGACATGAGTAAAAGAATATGAATGCTATTACTTGGGTAGCATAAAAAGAGATTAGACAAATAATTCTATTATAGGTTGGATTAGAGGAAACCTGTTTCAGTGTTCATCCTCTGTAATGTGCTTGTGTAGTATTAACAGGAGAGACTATGTGATGGCAGGGTTCATTGTTTTCTGTAGGATTTTGCTAAGACTTCAGAGATGGTGAAGCTGCCTTGGTTTTGTTTAATTGTATTAGAAACAGCTATTAGTGAAGATTCAAGGCACTGGCGTCTGCGGAAATTAGTTTCTTTGATCACTGATTGGGCGTCCCTGAATTTCATGAGATGATTGGTGGAATTTCGGTGTTGTACACAGGCGTTGTTCAGGTTATCGTTCGTAAATGCATGAATGTGTTCATTGAGGCGGGTGTCGAGGTTTCTTGCTGTTTCACCTACATAAATCTTGTCGCAGCCTCCACAGGGTACTGTAAACTCCTGTGTTGACTGGTACGTGGTGGTTGGATTTTGTCCTGGTCCTTTATTGAAGTGCTGGAAACGATGGCGACTCTATTGTTAGCTTGTGAAAGTACTTTAGAAACGTTCAGTGCAACCTGGCTGTTAGGAAGAATTATAACTGTGTTAGGAGTGGTATTTGTGCGTGGAGAATTAATGATCTGAAGAGCTCTTTTCTTGCAGTCTTTGATGAAAAGGGAAGGAAAATGTAAATCAGTGAAGAGTTG